CTCTCTCAATCATTTTCCCTTCTCAATCATTTTTCTCTCTCAATCATTTTTACATCTTTGATTATTTGGTTCTGTTTTTATTTGAGATAGTTTGTCATTTTTCTTCTCTTTCATTCTTCATGTATCTTTGAGATACTTGTCTCCTTTTCTTGTATTCATTCTTCTTTGTTCTCAGAGATATTTTTATTCTGTTATTTTGTCTGTCTTTCTTTAAATCTCATTTTGCCCTCTCTTATATATTTGTTTATCTTTTTCCTACTCTTCTTCCTTCTCTTCTATTCTTTCACCATAACGCTTCCAACCATTATAGTTTTCTCTATTCCTTATCTCTACTTTTACACCCTTGCCTTGGCATCCATCACCTGTACCAAATTTCTTTGATTTATGATGACTTGATATAACTATTTTTTTATTAAATGTAATGCTTCCTGGGAGAAATTTCAATAGTTTAAACATTGAAAGCCACAAATATTTTCAAACTATTGATATAACTACTTCTTTTACTTAGAGCTTGCTTTATTTAATATCTTTTTCCTACTCTTCTTCCTTCTCTTCTATTTCTTTCTCTATAACGCTTCCAATCATTATAGTTATCTCTATATATTCCTTATTTCTACTTTTGCACCCTTTCTTTGGCATCCTGTTCCTATTTTCTTTGATTTATGATGACTAGATATAGCTTGTTAACTTCTTTTTCTTTGAGCTTTGCTGGCCTATGCTATAAACAACATTCCCAGTGTGTTTTTTATTGCACCCAGTAGCTGCATTTACACTGCAACCAAAAAGAATCCATGACATTTGCTCCGGCGACAATTGCTCCGCTGTAAATTTCATACACTAATCGAATGGCTAACTTCAACCCTGGATTCAACACTATACCCTACCCTAAACCTAACCCTAAACCTAACATAAAACCCTATTGAAACCCTAACCCTAACCCTACATCTTAGACGAAATAAAGCCCGGAGCAATTGTCGCAGGAGCAAATCACATTCTGAAATCGAAAAACCCACCTCTGTAGTGTTTTTTTTAAAACTCTTGCAAAAATTTCACTGGTATTTGCAGTGTAAGTACTTGCTCTCAGAACATTGGTGAATGTTTCCGTTGTTTGGTTACGTGACTCTCATAGCTCCTGTGCGATCACATGCAGAGCTCTGTTCACACAAAAAAACACAGAACGATCAAACACCAATGTGTTATTCCATGAGTGTAAATGGCTGCACCCCCCCCCCCTCCCCGTGATTTTTCTAAATGGTTTTGGGGCTGAGTAAATGGGCCTATTTATGATATTTTGTGGAAGGCCCACGCATACTCATTGCGGGTTTATTTTATGCATTATGACATGTAGGCCCTAGTCCTACTGGTTATAATTTCCATCTTTATGTATCTGTGCTTTGGATCTATGCCACCAATTTTTGTTTGTTTCTTTGATGGATTTCTTAGAAGTAATATGCCTAGGATTACCCTTATTCAGACTACTAAAATTCATTGTATGGGGGTACAAAAAACACATAGCGAAAACATGTTTGGGCACCAAGTCAAATGATAAATGCATCAAACATCAGGGTCCTGTCCTCGTCTGAACAGGGCACAAAAACTGTAAGTCTGTATAACTGAGTGAGTGGGCCTTATGGCTAGACTCTAGAGAGCATGTATGATTGGCCAGTTGTCATATCACCTGACCTCGTTTAAAAAAAGTTTCTTCAAACAATGTGACTTTTATTTGTGCAATGTTATTAGCCTGTGCATATGCCCCATTTGTATGATGATTCTTTACACGACGTTTTTTTATATGATTTTTTTTCTGTTCTGAACAAGCTCCTTGCTCCACAGAGCATCAAACAGTAGCACTGGCTGCTCAACTTTTGAAAAGGATTTCTTTTTTACCCCAGGCGTTCATGCGGGAGATGATAGCAACTAGACATTTAGGTCTGTCCTCATCAGACCAAAGTTGCAAGACTCAGGATATTTTCTGAAGCTCGAAATTGCGTCCTCACCAGACGAATACACTCATCTCAAACTAGCTCAGACGGGCGCAAATTAGCATTTAGCCCTCTTTTTTGGAAACAAAACCAGATTCCTAGGGACATTTTGTCGACCAAATAGCCTGCTAATTGCAACTGCGGGCTGATGATGCAAATTAGCTGGCTAATTTGAGATCGGGCTAGTTAAAATAGTGGGTTATTTTGCAACTTCAGTCTGATGAAGATGGGCCTTTTGTGAAAAGATTAGGTATGATATTGTTTGAAAAGTATTGATGGCGTTGTGGTGGGTTTTGCCTATTGTTGCAGAGAGGCACTTGTGGTTATATATGGTTATATCTTTAGATTAATGTATGAGTGATTTGGGTCATTGGTTATGACAACGATTTGTTTCTTTGCGGGAACTTCTCCCCTTTTATCAGTGGCACAGCTGCTGATGGTGTGTTGTCGTGGAGTTGTGTATGTAAACATAAGTCAAAGTTTCTATATCGCATGATTAAATTGTAGCACTGAATAGATTGTATATTTGAAGCTGTGTGGGCGTATATACATGAACATGTAGGTGTATATGACTTTTCCTGAAATTAAGCGACTCGGTGAATGTGGACCCCAATTTAATCACTTTTAATGTTGGGGGGGGGGGGGTGGGTCTAAAAATGATCAAAAGTTTATCATGAAAAAGTTCATTAAGTTCAGTTACAGGAAAGAACAAAACTATACAATCTAGTTCTGTCACTTTTGTGAAATTGATATATTTAATAAAGATACTCTAATGTAGATTTTTTGTTAATGATTTCTCAATGAACTCAGAAAGGTTTTCATGTAGCTATCTAATCATGATAATACTCATTTGAACTTTAACAGCAATGCAGTTTTGTTTAATTTCACACAACTTTCACACACTACAAAATTATCATCGCACAAACCGTGTTGATTACTTGTATCATATAGCAAAGGAAACTACGCTGTACCACTAATCTTCACTGTTATCTTTGCCATTTTTCCTGTTGTCATTTCGCACCTAGATCTCCGGAATTAACCTCTGTTCGTACTGGCATCTTCCAGAGTATATATTGTGATTTTCTGTAAAGGAATGAGCTTTTTTAGTATCTATCAAATGTACCATATTATGTCTTGTAAAGACATAAACTCTCAAATATGGAAGTAAAACAAATCTGCAGTAGTAGTATAGGCATATAGCTGAGGTTTCATGAATGAGTTATTATTTTACCATAGCATTTACGGTACTGGTAGATGATATATGAAAAGGGGTTAGTAATGTTACAAAGAGTTTAAATAAAGCATAACAAACTATTAAAAGGTTAACAAATCACCTTTCTAGGTACCAACCCACACCATCACCTTGTTGAGTTGATGTTATTAACTCTTTGACCTTTTGGGGGAGTATGAGAGTACATGAAAACATGAACACATCATTGTACACACCCACTCATACATAGACTGAGGAAAGACTTAATAACATTGTATACTTCTGTGTCATACAGTATCCGACACATCGAGTACACACTTTGAAATACATAAAACATTTCTATGCTACTCGTTATTGCCTTACTCTGTCTTCTTGGAGTGAATATGTTGTAATATAGCACAGAATGCAAACTCTATCATTGCTTCAAGGTTGTGTTTTTTTAAATACCACTTTGTAAAAAAGTTACACTGGAATATTCAAGTTTTTATTAGGGGTATCCTCACTTTCTTTGGATATTGAAGCACAGTCACACGTACCAAGGAGCGTTACAGCCTTATATCTCTCCCTGGTCACACCAGCGAGACTGAGACAGAGAATAGACCAGTGAACCTAAGACCCCGTTCTCACTCACTTTGAAAGTGGTCTTAGTTAGACCGCTCCAGAGGATCGGGTATTGAGGAACGGTTTGCGAGCGTTCACACTCCGAGCAGTTTTTTATGGCTCAAACCGCTCCACGAGTCAAAGTGGTCTTGTTGCTATGGCAGCTCAGGTCAGCAGGTCAATTTTTCGCGCGCGGAATACAAACTGTATGTACCGTACTACATGTTTCGCACGGAACGTCACTAGCTCACTTCCGGTCAAAGTACGCTTCCGTTCACATTGCACGTTAGAGCGGTCCAAACCGCTCTTAATAAGACCCGTTCCTCAAGACCACCTCCCGAGGTGGTCTTCTGGAGCGGTCCAGAAGTCCACTTCCTGGACCACTTTGACCGTTCTCACTCACCTAAGAACTGCTCCTGAGGAACGGGTCTTAGTTAGACCGCTCCAATGAAGTGAATGAGAACGGGGTCTTAGTCACACCAAGGAGCGTTACAGCCTGATATGTCTTTAGTCTGTCACACCAACGAGACCGAGACAAAGAATAGATCAATGAAATGCTATCTTGGCCCAAGTGGCCTAGAAACAGTTGGAGTCTAGCTGGTTGGTATGTGACTCAGAACACATGCACACTGGCATAGTTAAACTTTTTAACAGAAGGGGGGGGGGCACAGATACGAAGGGGTGGGGGTTGACATATAAAATCAGCGTCCCTCCATATACCTGAAGTAGGGGTGACCCTCTCCTTCGTTCTGTGGATGATTTATTTTTAGTGGGAGATTAATGGGGCGGGGGAGGGGCGTGGCCCCTTTGTGGCCCCTTTGTGCCCCCTTGCATGCTCCCCATATGAACATGTTTGTGCACCATGTGAAAAGCAAGGCCAAATGGAATACAATGAATGGGTGAATGAATGGGTATTCAGAATTAAAAGTTATGGTCAGGTGCTATGACCATCTGGTCAAAAGAAAGACACAATCATAAAGACTAGAAAAATCAACCTTAGGCAATTTTTAATGGCCTTATGTGTAACCTTTTGAAAAGTGTAAACAAATAAAATGATCACATATGAATCTGAACATGATTTCTAAAGGCAATTCAATTGTGTATCGAAATTGCCCTTCTGTTGCTTTTTGAAAGGTTTGTGATTGTTATAAAATGTTGTAATTTTGTTTTTAAATGTCTGACCCTATGTATATAATCTCATTTCACAGCAGGAGCCTTTTAGAAGTAAGGGAAAGTGGTAGCAGATATTGAACCCCATCCTGTGAACAGGTCGCTGGTTCAACACCCAGGTCCTATCTTCTTCTATCTTCTTTTGGCACAACATCTCTAAAAATGGACACTCCTGCTCTGTTGGTTCTATTCTACATTGCTCTCTTCACATGTTGCTTAGCAGGTGAGTCTCAAATTTTCTTTTCAAAGACAGAGCTCGACACTGGTGGTCACATGTGGCCCTGGGCCATCAACCTACCCCTCAGGGCAACCAATCATTTTAGAGAAGCATGCACTCGACAGGGGCAACCAAAAATTATACAGTGCGAAAAACTGAATACCACTTTTTCCACTATTTAAGAAATTGGTGAAAAATGATTCAGGCTAGTTTTGCTTCTCCCTCTCCCTCCTTTGAAGACAGCATTATTTATTTTCCTCTTATCCTCAAGCGAGGTTTTTTTTCTCCATAATTCAATACATATTTACATTAATTACTCAATGATTGAGTGAAACATAAACGTATACATAAAGTATATTCAATAATTATTTCAGCTTAGTATTATTTTCTTTGCTAACATATTCATAACTTAAAAAATAATCTTAGCAATGACTTGAATTAAAAAAATCAAAGTATGTGGGTAACAAAAAAGAACCATTGAAGCCAGCATTATAATTATATGCCAGTATGCCATCGATTGTGGCTTCATTGCATTCACCACTAATTCATCAGATGGATGTCATTACATGAAATATCCTCTTTTCATTGAAAATGAAAGGAACAGGCAGGGTCTGGAATGTATCACTATCAAATCTCATTCTTTATTCCAGCTAGTGGCATAAGATAGTCTGTACACTTTAGACTGCTTTTAACTCCTGTTATTCAAGAAATTTAATAAAACAAAATGTTTCATCTCATACCAAGTACAACTAGTATTATTGCAAACAGGACTTACATGTAGTTTTGTATGCTGCCAATGCATTTATGAAGACATATAGCACCCCAAACCAATTAGCCTTTAAATAAGACTTTAAATCAACCGATCACAATTAAAAACTTCACATTAAAATACCATCTGCTGAGAACCAGCGAACAGGAGAATTCAAAAGACAATGTGAAAGTGCCCAAGTAGGGAAGTGGTCATCCCCACGTTTGATATTGAAAGTAGTTGTCATTTCGTAATCCTTACCAAACTTTGTGGTTAGTTGGAGTCAGTTTTGAACAGGATGCAATAGAATTCACTTATGAATGACTTAATATTCTTGGCAGCAATAATATCACATCTTCATTCATGCATCATTACTATATAAAATCAAAACTTGTATTTATATCATCAAATAAACACAGAAATAATTTGTTTCACAAACAGTTTTGAGTTTTGAGTTATTTCATACAAGTGTAATTGCTTTCTCTTTACAATCTGAACCTTTCAGTTAACCTTTTCGTTTACCATTGAAAGTCTGACCATCAGAGACTCCGGTCTGACTTTCCAGAGACGAGGAATGTGCCCACGTCACAGGAATGCTCATTCCAATGTTTTTAGAGGTCTTGAACTTCAAACGCGGGGGAGGGGGGGGGGAGGGAGGGGGAAGGCATAAATCTCTCTATAGGCTCGATCCACTGCCAGTTTATTTAAGTGCTGCATCTAAAAGTTATAAATAACCTTCAGAAAACTTAAAGACATGTTTAATAATATAGAGTGAAATATGTATACTGGTATAAAGACTGCCCAAGGGAGTCAAGAAAAGTGGTCTTTATAGGCAGCTGGTCTTTATGTACAGGTTCCTTTAGTACATGTTTTAATGAGAAACCACTTCAAAGGGAAACAAACAATGTGGTCTTTGTAGGCAGATGGTCTTTTTTATACAGATGGTCGTTAAAGCAGGTTTGACTGCACACCGGTATGTATTTTTTATCATCTAATATGTCCTACAAAGGTATACTTTGATAATTGTTAGAATTTTGAGAGTCTACTGTATATTAGTCAAGAATGTTGGGAAATAAAAGCTGGTCTGAGGGTGTGCCCCCCCCCCTGTCTGTCAGCCCACTTGGATACCTCGAAAGAAGGATATTGCCTCATTCATGTAGGAGTCATGTGACCCTTCTCAAATACAGTTTAGTTCCTGGAGGATGAGGAGGTAATTGAGGTTATTTATTTGTCAAAACTTGGCAATTCAATGATTTTTTTAGTTCAGCTTCGGTAATTTCCCCATCATAATATAATCTGGAAACCTTTTTAACCACAAGGAATACTGGGCCTGGAATGATCATGCTATCCTCTCGGTCACACCCATTTGATGGGGCCACAGAATTTCTTGCTGATTTTTTTTGAAAGACTGCAATAGTTAGGGAAAATGTAAGAAGTTTACCAAGAGATAGACCTCTCTCTTTACAATAAATATTTATTTCTCTACATTTATTTTCCATACGAGGCTGATCTGCATATTTCTCTAATTTTGTTTTTGTTTTTCCCTAATCTGTCCTGAAAACAATAGTTTGACCCCTTACATACTCAAATTTTAGGAATATGTATAGTATCAAAGATTAACTGAAAATTCTTCTTTCTTTCGCTGTTCAACTGCTGCAGAGCTTTTCAAACAAAAGAACAGTTAATGGCTACAGGAATAAAGCTTCATTTTCACAGAAGCTTCTTCTGCCTTTAATAAACTCCACAAACTTCTGCATGCTTTTACTACTTCAGTTGATTCATTCACCTCCGCATCACACTGCACCTGGGGGGTGTTTCACAAAGATCTTAAGTTGAACTTATCTCTAAGTTGGACTTAACAATTATGGAAAGCCGTAAGAATCTATGAAAAAAAATTGTAAAAGTTATTTTAAATGGCATAAAATGTTGATTTAAATCATTCATATTTTATATTATCAAGGAGATTTCATGTTCTTGATGTGGAATTCATAAAAAGTCTAAAATACTTAAATTATCACTTTTGAATATATTTTATTTTAAGGATACCAATGGCTCTCCATAACTTTTAAGTCCAACTTAGAGTTAAGTTTAACTTCAGATCTTTGTGAAACACCCCCCTGGAAGCATATAAAGTCTTTTCAACAGTAAGAAAATAACACATAGGAACAGAGAGTGACTTCAACATTGAAAGCTAAAAAAAGAAAAATTGAAAATGAACAATACCTCTAGAGATGCAAGGAAAAAATGAATTGCTACAAGGAAAATATTGCTTTTTGTCTCAAAATTTTTGAAAAGAACTCAGTCAGTAGAGCGTTCGCCTCACAACCAGAAGGTCGTGGGGTTTGAATCCCGGCCGCGTTATACCAAAAGACGTTAAAAGACGGGAGTTGCTGTTACCTTGTTTGGCGTTCAACAATAAGGGATAGAGCAACGTCAATCTGGCGCTGCTCAGTGGCTGCCGGGCTCACGATCAATTGGGCAAAAAGAATTTTCATTTTCGGTTTAACTTAATAAAATTTGGAGTGGACATTAAAAGATTAAAAGATTATTATTATTATAAACATCGAGGATTGACACTGCTCTTCCATTTTTGTCCGCACTCCGCGGACTTGTTAACAATCCTTTACTTTTACGAATCTAAAGGAGTATTAAATTTTGCTCGTTTTAGGCACAAATCGTCCATCATTAATTCACAAGTGGCTGACGCATCGTGAACTTGTTGACTGTTAATTCAATAAAATTGAATTTGGAGTATCATAAAGACACACCTGTCACTCTCAGTGTACAACACTGCGTGCCTCTCCTCCAATCTTTAACAGTGCTTGTTGAACTTCAGACTCGGTTACAATCCCAGTGGATGTTATAAGATCATATTCATTCTCAATAGCTGCAATTACAGTGTAAGCAAAAATCATCAATTTTTCTCACTTTTGGTTTTTCTTGTCTTGGCTAATCGTGGCTAAACACCGGCAATCACGACAACAAAAAACGAAATTGAAAAATCCAGCTTTGGAGTGCGTTTTTTTTTTAATGCCTGCCAAAATTTCACTGATTTTTGCAGTTTAAATCGTTAAGATTCTGGTATTTTGTCTTGTGACTCTCCTTGCGTCTGTGCAATCACACAAAGAGTAGCGACAATTGGTATGAGCAAACATTGACTTTTTTTTCCTTCCCAGTGGTCAATGATTTTTTCCAAAATGGTGTTCAGTTCGGATGTGTAAATGGGCCTAATTTTGAAGACTTGAGTTACATCATATTGTGATGTATACATTAATCATTACCGTGTCAAATTTGAGTCTCAATTTGCTTTTTAAAAATACTCTTTTATGAAAAGTATGAAGTTGAGAACCTGAAGTAGTTCAGGGAGTCGATTTCAAACATATCAAACAGGATATCTAAAGTAATGAATTTTTTTTAATATAAACTTTATTATGAGGTACTAAAGGTATAATTCATTAGTTATATTAATCACATATCATGAATGCAGTAATGCTTTAAACAAATTAAATTTAGCTGTGATGAAAGTGTTTAAACAGCAGAAGATTTTATTGACTGTGAAGAGAATTTAAAAAAAAAGACATTTCAGGTGAGCTGCAGCACACTTACAGTGCACAAATAAACAGAATGAATTGGCTCTTGGTAAAAACAAAGAGTTGATTTGAATGATATGCATTTTGAATTTTAAAGAAATCTGTCGGTGATCTTTATCTTAATTATTAAACCTGATTCTCTGTCGTTCTTTCCTTATCATTCCGGCGAGTCTCACTTCCTATTTAGACAAGGAAACCACTTAGCTGACCAGTCGTTTCCAACCTGCTTCCCTGCCCTTTTTTTCCAGTTTGTTTCTTGGAAAAATTAAGTATAATTATAGGAGGTTATCATTAACCATCAAGTGTAGATAGAGTGCATCAACACGGTAATTACACATAGTATATGCAAGAGGAAGATGATACAGCATGTTTTTTAAATTTATTAGGAGCATGTTCCTGATTATGATTGGTTCTCATGACTGGTTTCTGTGCATTTTTTGTGATGATGAAATACTATTGTTGTTTGTTTAACTTCTTAGTTTTTGTTTGTTCTTTTTTTCCTTTAAAAAAAAATAGTGATTGTGTTTGTGATTGGTGAATTATATTAGACTGATGTTAGAGTCTACCAGTATATTGCATGAGGATCTAGCAATCAGGTCCGCTGGAGTGATCTGGAGCGGTCTGTTTAAGTATGAATAGGGTCATATATATACACGGTCCACTCAAGT